CTCACGCTAGCAGGTGGTCACATTGGTTATATTGCCAGAAGTCAATTTTCAGGCACTGCGTATTAACATTGCACCTACTGCAGCAAATTTCCTTGATTATACATTAGAATGAGAGTATAGTTTATATCTGTGTAGTTAATAGTAACTTTTCAAGTTCTTTTTTCTGACCACATAATGTAAATACAGAAGAGTCAAGCTTTAATTAGGAAAATTATTGAATCATTTTTGAGCGAGATGGTACAAACCGATTTAGTGATCTATATAATGTAATGTCTATTGATCGTGTATGCCCATACACCCAAAGCGTTTCGCAATTATGAGGGGTCTCTCCACACCACAAGTGTGCAGTATCCATTGCAGACACAGACATCAGAGCGCTCACCATACACCAGCTTTTAGGTGGAGTAGAGAGATAGTTATAGAGCCAATTCAGTGAATTGGGATGATTGGATTGGGAGGAATTTGAAAAGGACACCAGGGTTACACTCCTAATCTTTACAAGAAGTGCCATTGGATTAATCTGAAAGACCGCACTCACTAACAGTATAGTGTCTCCCTCACTTTACTGTGGTATGAGGACTCACACAGACTGCAGGTTGAGCACCCTCTGCTGGCCTCCCTAACACCACCTCCAACATCAACCTAGTTTTCCCATGTGGTCACCCATCTAGGTACTGACTAGGCTCAGCGCTGCTAAGCTTCAGTGAGTAACTGGTCCTGGGCTGCAGGGTGATATGGCTGTGGCTATCTATGCTAAGCTAAGTTGAAAGTGCTCCCACCAGACGCAAAGATTTACTAAATGGATTAAAAAATCTTAAATTTCAACTTTTTAACTCTATGGGAGTTATCACTTTTAAGTTAATTTACATGACAACAGCATTTTGAAATGCAAAATGTAAAGTTTGGAATACAACACCATTATAGTCTCAAACTACAACAACAACCAAAACAACAACAGCAGACTACAAGACTATTTGTATGGCACAAGATACTAGTGACATAACCATCTACTGTTCTAGAATATACAGTTGTTATAGTCAAAATGTGATATCTGTGTGAACCGGGATAATGTTGACAGCTTTTCTGTTTTCGGTAAATTATTGTCTAAACGTAACTTTAGACTATAATTAAACTTTGAAAGCCATTTCTTTGCAACCTCGCCTTTCTCAAGCTAAATGCATCTTCTGGTAAATCAAGTGGCTGGACTTCGATGAAAGTCAGCAGAGAGTGTTGCTGAACATTTGCTCAAGTAATTTAGAGCTGCTTTGAGCTGGGCTTAATTTTAGCATGAAATGTCTCACAGATGGGAATAACAATGCTTCTGTGTGCATATATATATATATATATATATATATATATATATATATATATATATATATATATATATATATATATATATATATATCAAACAGGCCTTGAAATCCGAGGAACTGCTTGATGTGTGCAAGCTGAATGTCAGAATAAAGTTTAGAATCAGAATTGTGACCATAACTTGAGGTGACATTTTCATTGGCCATTTTTTTGCAGTAATATAACCCATGCAAGTTCAGCTGTTCAGAGCAAAACCAGCTTCAGCATTTCATCCATGTGGAATACAAAATTGAACAAGCCCAAACCTGAGTGGTATTAATACAGCCTGTGTCAGTGATACCTGTGAGGAAGGCAATTCAACCTGACAGTTAAGTCATGGAACATCTCGTTTATATAATCCGTTATAGACTGTATGTATAGCAGGGGAGGGTTTAAATGTTTGTTTCCTTTTTAGAAAAATTTCATAGATCCGCACCACACTCCATCTGATGCCATTCGCTCAAGGCTAAAAGACAATGGCTGCATTGTAAGTCTAAGAATTATTTTCCCTTCTAAGAGGCTCGATTCGCAGGCCAGGCATGGTGAAGCTGTTATATAACCCATGATTTCTATGACATACACATTGCATGGAGCCTGTCATGTCTTTCCTGTAGTTTCAACACTCATCAACTTGATATGTAGCAGGAGAGACCATGAGCAGACTATGTCATGTGTGTGTGGGTTCCTATGAAAGTATGGACTTTCAGTAGTTGATATTAAAAAGGTGAGAATATTATTGGAATTATGGAGGCATGGTGGCTCAGTTGTTAGCACTGTTGCCTCACAGCAAAAAAAAGTTGCTGGTTCAAGTACTGAGTATGCCACTTGGCATTTCTGTGTTAGCAGTTCTCCCCGTCATGTGCTCACCGTGTTTGCATGGGTTTCCTTTAGGTGCTCCGGTTACCCCTAAAGTCCAAAGACGTGGTACAGGTGAATTGAATGTTTTAAATTGACCATAGTGTATAAGTCTGTGTGTATGCGAGAGTATGAGTGCTTCCCAGTACTGGGTTAGGGTTGGAAGGGAATTCACTGTGTAAAAAATGCTGGAATAATTGGGAGTTCATTCCATTGTTGTGACCCTTGATAAATAAGGGACTAAACCAATGAAAAATGAATGAATATTATCTGAATTATTAATTTCAAATCAAAGTCTGCTGTTATTTGGATTATTACTTAGAATGTTGTGCATCAAAAGTCAATAGGGTACAGATCAAGGTCTAGTAATGCAATTCGTAACTGAATCATGAAATATGGAACCTGTTTATTAACAATATATTTTTCAGTGTAGGTTATTAACACGCTTTGCAGTGTAGCGTAGAACCCAACACAATCTCATGGCTATTTGTAACCTTTGAATTAGTTTTTAATATGTAGGAATTTGTAAGATATCGGTGAATTTTAGTACAATTTGCTTATCACCCCATTACAATCTCATTGTGAAAATGTATCTTCGTATACATTTTTGGAAAGCACGAGTTATGTAGCCAGAGCTACATATGTATTTCGTCTTTAAAGCAAACGGTGTAGTATGATGCTGCCGCCGGCTTTTGTTCATTTTTGCGCTACCAGCTGACCTCTTACCTCCATGTGGACAGCTTTTATGCTGTTATCAGTTTGGCCAGTGGCTCACCACATACATTAGTGGACTTTTCGGAAGCCTCCTAAATGCCTACCTAGGGAGGTGTTCCAGGCATGTCCCACCAGGAGGAGACCTTGGGGAAGATCCAGGACACACTGGAGGGACTATGTCTCTCGGCTGACCTGGGAGCGCCTCGGGAAACCCCCGGAGGAGCTGGAGGAAGTGTCTGGGGGGAGGGAAGTCTGGGGTTCTCTCCTAAGTCTGCTGCCCCCACCACCTGGCCCCAAAAACGGTTGAAAAAGAATAAGTGGTTTTGAAAACACTACCAGTTGGGTTTAAAAAAGGGGGTGGGTAGGGAGAATCAGTTAGTCAGTCAGTAGACAGCGGAGTCTGGTGGATTTAGTTGAATGCCACTTGCGAAAGAAATGTGTGATCTAAAAAAAGGCATACACAACGACCTCTGGTGGATTCGGAAAAACAAAATATGCAAAAAATAAGTACCTCCTGGGATCTATTTGGCGATGTCCAGAAATGTATATAGGGGTATGTATCAATAATAAGCCTGGGTTGTTATCATCCAAAGTGGGTTACGGTTAGGGGTGGGGTTATGAGGCATGGCTCCTTTAGAAAAAATCATTTTCATATAGATGAAATCGGATAAACTGTTTTAAATTATTCTCTTAGACAATTTATATAACAGTTTGCATATGAGATCTGGCTGGTTTAATCTAGAAAGGTGTTGGCATACTATCATTGAAGCTCAAGTATTGCATAATCCACTGCTCAGCTGAAAGGTGAGCTGCTTGAACTCAGGGTGATGGTTCAGTAGATAAATGACAGCGCAACAATTTGAGGCATGTTCCTAAGGAAGGTTATAGGTCAACATGTTTTCAGGTATGAAAAACAAAGCAGTAATATATGATTCTTGTCTTTAAGTCTTCTCTAATTTGTCCAAGCCTCAGCTTTATCCAGCTCTGTCTTTTGAAGTGACTCATTAAGGGTTTACAAGGCAATCACAGAGCCTCAGAGTGGTACCAGCTGTAGAAACCATATTTATATATGAACTAGAAAGAGGTACGCAAGGTTAAAGCTCTTGCCAAAGGCATTGTATGGCCTGTTGACTTGATTTTTGGCAACGTTCTTTATTGTAAACTGCTGTTTTGGTAAATCAAGCAACTCTAGACATAATTACAGCTTTGAACTAGTGACGTTTTGTTTGAGTCATAGTAGGGAGTGGTTTTCTAAATTGCTTGTTTAAGTTTGTTTTAGTAGCAATTCTCTTCAAAACTAATTTTCTTAGAGCACGGGACGTTCTAGAGCACATCTTGTTTTATGGTTCTCTGATGCTGAACTACGAGAAACATGCTAGGGGCTGTCATTGCATAGTTTTGGGGTGGCTTGATTCATGAATATGCCTTTGTTCACATACTGTGGGTCAGATGAGGCTCACTGGAGCGAGTGCTTCCCTTTGCACGTCGCATGCAGTGGCACGTGTTGGAAGCACTTGTTAGAATCATTTCCCTAGAGGTGAGGTTTCTTGGCATGGGTTTTGTGGCTGAATGCCCTTCTAGACGAGACGTAATTTACAGTGGTTAGCAATGGGCACAGATAGACAAGTGCTTGAGTCTGCAATGATGAAACAGAGAGAGACTTTACTTTCCACCATGTCATATTTCTGGAAGAAGAGAGGCATATGCCATCGACCTGTCCATCTTATGTCTTGCTCATTTATTGCCATCCTGGAACTCAGTCTCCCTTTGGGCATTTTGCCATTGTAAGGGTGCACCAAGTCCATGTACTAGGTCCAATCAAAATTTAGAGGGAATCATCTCACACAAGCACAGACATGCACACCCACAAACACACAAAACATTGGGGAAAAATCCTTGCTGAAAGAAAAAAGTGAGAGAGCATGTGGACGAGCAAGACCAGCAAATGAAAGCCATGCTCACCCCCCACAAAAGTGTGTGTGTGTGTGGATTGATGAAGGTGGGTGTGATTAAGGCACGCATCAGCAATCTCCTCCCTCTCTGGTCACTATACATCCTAGAGGACTCCTCGCATTGTCTGTCACTCAGCTGAGGCACACAGTGAGCTCAAGAAGTCCTGAAACCAGCACTAGCAGAAGAACCAGCAGCAACTCTTAGAGAAATCAGCCAGCATCCCTTCTCGATTGAAGCAGAGCACCATGGCAGGCAGTACTGTCCTTCACTTGGGCTTCCTTCTGACGCTCGCAGGAATTCTCCTCTTCGCATGCAGTTCCGCACAAAGAGTTAGAGGCAAGTTCACCACCATGGTGGCAAATTCTCACAATGCCATATATGCACAAAAATTCTTGTGGTAAACTGTATTTTTTTGTGATGCCACTGTTTGTATTGGAAAATGTCATGCATTTCTGCAGTACTTCTCATAATTATTAATTGAATATGAGGCTAAATAGATTTTTTATTTTTTATTTTTTGATAAAGCTGCAGGTGCGTTTTTTTTTTTTAGCTAGTGGCAAGATAATTATCATTAACCTGTTGCATGTGTGGTGGATGTCCTGGATTGGCTGTAGGTTTGAATTTTCATTCATTTTATGAACATGCAATTTAGTTTGTGCTTGGAGGTGCTTTCATGCATGAGCATAATTGAGTGTGTATTATTTAAAGAGAATTATATGCAGTAGTCAGTCTTGCATGACTATAGACTCTGCAAAGAGGAAAAAATTATATCTGGAGCCAGAAAGGTGCTGGAAATTGAGAGCATATGCAATTTGTCCATCACTGTATAGATTCCAATTTTTAAAACCAGCCAGGTACTGAAATTGCTGCCTTTTCTAGGTGCAAAATGACCTTTAATTTTGGTAGACTAAAATCCAGAGTGATAATGGTTACCTCATTGAGTATGCAGCTGGCCAAAATCAATGTTTTCTTTGTGCATGTGTGTGTATATATTTTAAGAAAGTGTTCTAGAGAATATACATATGCAAAATGAATGCAATACTTTTTAGTATCCCATACAGAGTACATGTCTTACATAATCTAGCCCCATTCTCCTTAATTTTAAAGGTGTGTGGGAATGCAGCATGTTTCTTTCCAAGATTTTGTGCTCCCAGCTCAGATTAGCTTGGGCATTAGTAATACAAGCTCTCAGTTCACTATCAGCGCTCGTTCATCAGCTATTAAAAACCACCTTCATCTCCTAAGGGGATGAATGTCTGCACTGGCTCAGAGCCCTGTCTCTTGTACCAAGCGTCATTCAGCACATCTAGCCAGTCAGCCAAGCAGCATTCAGTGTTTATATTTCAATGGCCAACTTCATTTCCTTATGGATGTTGACAAAGAAGACAGAAAGAAAGTTTAATTACGAACTGGGATTGAGTTCAAAAGGGGTTGAAGACACGTTTTACAATTGATCATCTCATCCTTGCTGAAAAGAAACTTGTCTAGTCTGGTTTGGTGGTTTTAGAGTGGGTTTTGAGCACTTCACCCAAAAATGTAAGCAAATGATGACAGAATTTTCAGTTTGGGGTGATCCATCCCTTTAACAGTTGAATTTTAGATGGTCAAGCAGGTGGGAGACCTACTGTATAAACCCAAATATGACCAGTTTGCTTACACAGACCATGTTAAAACACTTATAGACTTGATAAGGACATGTTTTTCTTTATTTGAGACTTTATCTTTGAGTTACCCTGGCTCAAATAAGGTAAGATAGGACAGACCAGACTAGCTAGACCATGTCAAACCAGTTAAATCCACCAACCCCTTATAGTCTGGTTTAATATGTGCTTTGTTTCAGCATGAATGAACTTGATTGATAATTGACGCCTTAAAAGGAAACAGCAGTCTGAGCTGTCTGCATGTTCGCCTAGCTCAGACGGAGCTTCTACATGTTACTGTACTCAAAGGTGCCTTGGGGCAAAGACAGCTTAAAAACACATGTGCAGGCAGCTGTACTGTAAAAGCAGCAGGTTCACAATGCACCTTGAAAACTCCAGCCAAATGGTATCAGGGGCAAGGAAAACATTTAATTTTGAGTTTGGAAAAGGTATTAGCAATCATGAGTATGATCATCTAAGTGGTACTGGTTGTTAGTATCATGATGTGACCAGATAAGCATCTTTAAAAAAGTCAGAATAAGACAACAAGGATGAAAGGATTTGGTGGGTGAAGGGGAGAGGAGAGCAGCTGTTGAGTGCAGAGATCAGGTCTGTTGTAAATGTGCCTGAAAGACGAATGATTTGCTGAAGTCTGGGAAAACAGTAGATTTACTCTCCCTCAGAGCCCTAAGGTGATTTTCTTCTTCTGAAGTTTAGTGCCATTTTTAAATCATCTGCTTGGAAATTTGGGTCACTTCGTTCTAAAAATGTGGTGCGAAAGGAAATGGGGTGCTACATAAGGACCAGATTCTTTGCTTTTCCATAAAAAGACTTAAAGGAATTGTTCAGTCAACAATCAAAATTTTGTCATCATTTACTGAAATAAAGATATTTGAAAGAGTGCTTCAACTTTTGACCATGCGATGATGAAACTGCATTGGAAATTATGCTTTTATAGAATGGACAAGCATACATTATCTTTTTTTGTCCTGAAGAAATTAAAGTCTGGCAGTTGTGGAGGACATAAGGGTGCAAAAATATGACCCTAGACCAAAATGATACATTTTTTTATAACAGAATTCCTTAAAATATTAAGTAAATCAAACTCAATTAAGATATTTATTCAATTCCTACCTTAAATGTATCAAAACAAATTTTTTGGTCAGTAATATGCATTGCTAAGAACTAAATTTGGAAAATTTTAAACAAACTTCTCAGCATTCGATTTTTTTAACAGATTCAAAATTTACATATAGTTTTATTTTGACCATAATCTATCCTATCCTAATACAATAGACATCACTCTAAATGTTTTTAATCAGTTTTCAATTGATCTAATTTTCTAAAAATAGACAGCTGTGACTTGTGTTGTCTAGGGTTACATACAATGACATATTGCATTTTTTTTGGGATGCATCTAGTTTTCTTGACTTATTATTGAACATGAAGAATAAACAACTTAAGACATTTGATTTGATGAAGTGGAGTGATTTTGTACGCAGACTTGGCAAGCACCTTCTGTAGCATGGCTTCAATCCAGAGAGAATGCTGCAAATCAAACTGACCCTTCTAGAAATCAGTGTGTTTGTAAATTATGTTTGAAGTGGAACAAGTGCCAGACGTATAATAAATACTGGGCCGTATTTATGCGAAATGCTAAAAATGAACCATATCTGACACAATACAGCTTGGGACAGGACGTTGGATATGATGTTGATCAGTCTAAGTCTGGAAATCATTCAACGTTAGCGCCAAGAAAGAGCATGCATGATTACGCTTGTCAGGGGTGTCAAGTTCGCTTCCATATCTTTGCTATTCGACCACCCGCTATGGTTCCAGCCTTTAAAAGGTAAAACATCAAATTTTTTTTATAAAAAAATGCAGAATTACTAATTACATGGATCGGATTTCTTTTATAAAATATGTTTACCACGTGTGACGCAGAACAAAATTTTTATTTGACAGTTACATAATTAAGATTTTATTTGCAAAAGTAAACAACAAAAACTCAGGGTTTGAAAAGTTTATTATTATTATTTAAAGTGATTTGTATCAAGTAATCGAGTATCACAATCAATGCTTAAATACTGTATTTGGATTCAATTTGGAATGATGAGCACAAAAAAGGTCCATCAACACTGCCAAAACTTTACCTTTATATGTAAATGTAATGTGTATTCATTTTTTTGCATTCAACATTTTTTGTGCGTTTTTATGTGCGTTTAATGTTAAAATTTATATAGTAACATTTGACATATTTATGTGAATGAATGTTTAATGATTGTTTTATGCATATCATATGCTTCTTTTTCGCTTGTTTTTGGATCCAGTGATACTATGGCTGCGTCTGAAATTGCATACTTCCATGCTATTTAGTGTGCTAAAATCAGTATGCAAGCCGAACAGTATGTCCGAATTAATAGAATTCGAAAAACAGTTTGCGATAAGTACCCAATGACCTACTACTTCTGAATAGATAAGTGGAAATCTGATGATCTCATGATGCCCCGCGAGAAAGTTCATGAACAGGAGTGAAGCGACGCAACTGACCTGGGTAGGTCACGCGATCATGACAAAATGGCAGGTGTAGTACATTTAAGTTCTATACAAACTACTCATAAACATACTGTATAGAGCGTATTTTAATAACGGCCGAGTAGAGCAATTAAATTCAGATGTAAAACCTACTGATTATTTGGCAATTCTGTTAGTGACCAGGAAGCATTGTATCATAAATGATGAAAAATGTTTGACAAAAGCAGCATAATTTTGTCACAAATGACAAAAATTACATAAATCTTTTTCAATAGCATTAAATAAAAACTTTTTAACCTTTATTTATGCCCTAAGCTGTATTAACTTTTTTTTAATTTAGGGTAGATTTATATTGTACATAGGGTTAATGTGTATTATGTGTGACACGCTTGAACACCTCTGTAAGTGACGCCGCCGCGGAACCAAGATATTAAGAACATGTTTTTAGATGTAACAGCAGTTTGCGACTATGCCGAGGGACGGGATGCGAATTAACAGAAATATATAGTTTTTGTAAATGCATTGCTACATGTAAATGAAGATGAACAAACAAAACAAAGCATTATAATTCCTTCATAAATCATTAAAAACTTGTTAATAAGCTTTATTATCATTGTAAACTTGCTAAGTGCAATGTGGATTCATTTTGGAAATTAAAATTAAAGAAATAAAAGACAACTAAAATGAAAGTACAAACAATCGTTCATCCATTCATTAATTTTCTTTTCGGCGTAGTCACTTTATTAATCCAGGGTTGCCACTGCAAAATGAACTGCCAACTTATCCAGCACGTTTTACACAGCGGATGCCGTTCCAGCTGCAACCCATCTCTGAGAAACATCCATACACTTATACACTACAGACAATTTAGCTTACCCAATTTACCTGTACTACATGTCTTTGGACTGTGGGGGAAACCGGAGCACCTCGAAGAAACCCACGCGAACGCAGGGCGAACATGCAAACTCCACACAGAAACACCAACTGACCCATCTGCGGCTCGAACCAGCGATCTTCTTGCTGATCTTCAACACTACCTATTGCGCCACTGCGTCGCCAAGTACAAACATAAATACATAAAGCAGTGTTTTAGTTTAAATATAGAGAGATGTTCTGTGTTTGTTATTTTATGCCTTAAATATTGTACATAAGTAATAAATGGATAATTAAATAGGCCTAAATAATTATTTATTTAAAGAAATTACCTGCGAAAATGGAGAAACGATCCAGCACATGGTCTAAAAGGCTCCTAAGTTGAATGGTACTTCATCAAAAGCATAAAAATAAGGATAAATAATCTATGTTGCAACCAAACTGGTTTCAGTAAATGAATTAAGACTAACTAAATAGTTAAATGTACACTTTAATATGGATCAAAAGTTATCCATTTGAAAGTGGATGAAAAAAGTGAATCAAAGTCATCCTCAGACAAAAGCGGGTATTGTTTTTAGTTTTAGGACAACTTTGATAAAAGGTTTTGATCAAATTATTGACTACTATACTTACAGGCAAGAACTGACATTAGCCTTCAAATTCTTATGGTTTGACCAGCATTATTTTCTTAAAAAGAGTGAATTTCACTTGACCACAGAATTCAAACTGCCCCAGTCCCCCTCCACTAACATGCTGCAACTGGAAAGCAACTTTTTTTACAACTCTTGTCAACCTCTAATTTTTTGGGGAAAGGGAAATGTCCCTTAGCTACAGCTTTTGAAACCTCTGTGGTGACAAGCTGGTGAGGAAAGGTAAACCAATAATAGCACTCAACCGCAAGTGTGAAGCCTGTCCATGACTCATAGCCTTGGCTCCAGTCTAAAGCTGCATTGACATGGTTTATGAGTCGAATAATCAAGCTGCTGAAAGAACAGGTGAAGAAACAAGACTGCACATGCCTTTTAATTATACTTAATCAAAGTGATATGGTTGTAATGGTAGGGCACATCGAAAGTAGGGTTCATTCTCAAGAACTCTCCAATGAGGAAGTTTATTTTAAAGTGATCCCAGTGATTCAGAAGTGTGTATTTTTTTCCTTGTACAAATCCAGCAGCTCCCCATCCCACACACATATCCTCTTTTTTGTTTGTTTAACTGATTTCGCCAGATTAAGAAGACGAGTTTGCCTCTAGACTCTCTACTTTAATATAGAGGAATCCGAAAGGTCCTCCTTTGCTATTGTTTTTAGTAAAAAATTGAAGAAAAAAATTATTTTGGCTATTTAGTTACATGGCAACAACAATTTTAGGGGCCTGTAAATACAAATCTTTCAAATCGAGGTATTTAGTATAGTAATGAATATTTACAGTATATGGCAATGTTGATGTATTTGGTCTTTGTGACACAGATCTGCTATGCTGTTGCTGCTTTGATTATTGATGCAGAGCGAGAACCAAGACTTTGCTACTGCCAGTGTATTTACAAGCAGACTGTCTGAGAATTTAATACACTGCTGCAGTAGACATATCATTCAGTACATGAAAGCCTTTTATCAGATCTTTACAAAGGTGGTGCTGGGGTAGAGGAGGGTATCTGAAAACATGCTGCAGATTGTTTATAAAAACAACACAGGGGTGTTTAAATGTTGATGAGCAAGCTCATTGGCTGCTAAAGCCACATCAACCAATCATCTTCACCATTGTAGTTGAAAGGAGATTGTATATGACTTGTCAGCCATAACTCAATAGATTTCATGGCAGAACTTTGTCTTTACATACACAGACATACACACACAGGATTTAGGCAGTTTTACTGATCCATGTGAATGATGATTATTATAACAACAGGATTGTACTAAAAGGTTTTAATAAACACCAAGGGATGTTGTTTTACTAGTGACTACTTAACATAAATAAGAGAAAAAATCCATGAGACATGAGATTTGTGCTCGATATTCCACTGTGGTCTTTTGAAGTCATACAATATTGATGTGTGAGGATGTAATAGACTTTATGTACTTCCGAATTAAATGAAAATCCTCTATTCTGGAGAGATGTTAACCAAATTATTGGAATCAAAAACTGGATACATTTAGGGATCAGCTGTTTTTGAGGTGGTAAACAATGGTAAACAGTTGGAGAATGTGGTCAACAAATGTAATTTGAGTAGCACCCATTGTGTTATCGTACAATGTATTGTGATTTTCATTTAATGATTAAATGTGGCCAGTAGGCAAAGTACAGTAATTGTTTTTGTGGCAGTTTGAACTAATTTGACCCAATCATTTGTAAGTGGATAAGATCACACATTGTATACTTCATGTATGCCTGTATTTAAAACTGGTCAATTATGATTATATTCACACAAACAAAATCTTAATACCACATGTACACTTAATAAATGGCAAGATAGTCAATAAATACTCAAGCAAAACTTGTATGACTTGATTAAACGTATTAATTTCAACATTACTTCATTACTACATCCTTCTTTAGTAATCCTGGAACCTGGCATTGTTTAAAAATAAATTATATTAATTATATTAAATGGTTTTTGAATGGCAGTAGGTTGAATAAGTATTAACAGAAGTTTCATTTTTAAGTGAACTGCCCCTTTAATAAGTCTGATTGATGAAAGCTCTTGTTAGTGTGATACTTCATTGTGACGTTGACAAATTCAGGTGATGATCTTGACCTGCCAAGCTTGCAATTACTCATGAAGTTAAATACACACATCACTTTCCAAAAGCCCTGACCAACCAGTTTAAATCAGTTTAAGGAGGACGTTTCGTGGCCTCTTTAACTCAGCATAATCGTTAAACAGTTCTGATTGATGGGGAAAAGGTGGAAGTGGAAAAATCTCCACTCAGCCTAGGTGGCTTATTGGATTTAGGAATGGGTCTGAAACTGACTCAAAACATTTTCCACGCTGCAAATTATCTAATGAAATGGCAGTGAAAGATGAAGCTGGTATAAAGGAGGAGGTCATTTATAATGAATTTCTTGGTGCAGGATTGAAAAGATAATGATCAGATTACTTTAAAAGTGTGTCCGTGTTAAATTCCCGAAAACATACAAAGGCTCATAATTCCTCTGGATGTAATGCAGCATAACTAATATTGGAGGTCCATATGCTACTGTGCTTTGAGAGAAGTGAAGAGGAGCTCAACTGTGAAAGCCATTGCCCTTGATTTACCCCAATGGTGATATTTAAAGCACACACTTTTGTACTTCTCAAAAACAGTGCTCCTCCATCCCCCTTTGGTCTCATAAATCAATAAACTCCGTAAATTCACAATCCCCATCCAACACATGGGAAGCATAAAGTCTTACTCTTTACTCTTTAAGTAATTAATCATTTATTCATTGCAGTGTTCTGAAAGTTGCTCTTTTTGTGCAATTACGTCTTACTGCCAATGAATGTCAAACACAGAAACTGAAAACATTAGAAGAGCTGCAGCACTGGTTCATGAGCCAGTAATTCACATTTTGTTTTCCCTTTTTTGCAGTAAGAAGACAAAATATGAAGGTTCGCATCAATGCCACCGGAGATACAATTGTTTTGAAGTTTGTTCGACCCAACCCTGATGTCAAACTTGAAGGCTACATCTTAGGCTATGGCTCCAGCATGTTCTCCAAACAGTTCATCCAGCTTCCAGAAAACGGAGAACCCTATGAGACAGAGATTGGTAAGTTAGAGCTAAACCACAGGCAGCCGTTATTTCACTTAAGAGCCCGTAGGAAGCCCACAACACAATCGCTAATGTTGTTTTGTGGGTTAGCACAGGGATGAAAAAGTAACCACAAACGGTCGATTTCTTGCCCCATCGAAACCGCGGTCTTGATTTGTACACCTATGTTTGCGCCAATTCTTCCATTATTAGAAAACATAAACTGTAACTCAAGCCCAAATGACTGCTATTTATTAAAGCTTTCTTAACCGCAGTATTTTGTCATCACCAAAAAGTTACAGATCATATTTGACAAGGTTAAGAAAGGTCATATTTTACTCCCGGTGACATTAACCTCATTTACGCTTTCTGTAAAGTAAGTTCCTGTTGTCTATTAATCATTACATGTCCCAGGAGCTACAATCCCAGAGTTCATTCTGGAGAGGTGAGGGTCAGGTTAAAGAGACCCTAAAGCTAATGTTAGTTTTTACTAAATGACCCTCGCCAGGTGCTTCAGTTGGCATGTCAAGTTAAAACAGGACGCTGCCGCTGCTGCTTGTGGATTTAATGCGACAATTTTGATTATAAGTTTATAATACAGATTTTTTTTCATTTAGTATTAGCGGAAGTTGATGCAAAATTGGGGAACACTTTAAAATGTATTTGCATTAATGTATTTACTAACAAAAATAAACAATTAGCAATCCATTTATTTTATCTTTTTAAAGATTTTTTAATGTTATTTAAACCATTAGTTCATGTTAATTTACCGTGCACTGACTAATGTTAACAAGCAAAACTTTGCACTATGATTAATAAATGCTGCCCAAGATTATTCAAACTTAATCTTAGTAAGTAATGTACATTAACTTACATTAACTTACAAGTGTTACCAATAATTGGTCTTGGATAGTCATTCAACTTGCTTGACACTATGAGCAGGTTTGGCATGCTGTCCCAGGGGAGAGGGGACAGGGCCCAGGGCTCCTGAATAGTTAAACATTTAAGGGGGTCCGAGATCAGAAAGGTCTCGAGAGCTCCCTTATTAATGTCTACACCTACCCCAATCCTCAACCCAACCATCACAGTTATCAAGGTCTACACATTCCCCAAAACTAAACCCAACCATCAGTTATTAACATACATCTGCGCTCATACTTGACATGCTCACCATTGTACTGTTATTTGCAACCACAGAGGGTGATACAGAGCAGACTAGCTGTCTTGAAAAATGAATAAAAAAGTCAGCGTGTGGAATTGCTAAATGAATTAATATAATAATACATCAAATTGATTGGTTGTGGATAAATTTGGAGAAAACTCTTGAAAACATATGGTGAAAATGTTCTCTGTTAAGTATTTTCACCAACTTGCCTACAACATCTCATTGTGACATTTCCCATGGTTTAATGGGATCTCGATAACTGCAAGTTATGCCTCTTTGACTTGCTACAAGTTACGCCCCTTCATGTTATGTCCCTGTCTTGCAGCTTGCAGACAGACACACTTGGACAAGAAACATGTATTGACATTTCCAGACTTTGCAAAGTGGATGAGTACACTCTTTTTGTGGATGTTTTTAAATGTAAAACTATGCAGATTACACTCTGTGGTGAGGTGGGAATTTGAACAGTAACCTGATTGCCCAAAATATCCTTGAAATCTGTGAAATTTTGGGATGTTTAGTTGACATTGAGTTCAATTCGTGGACCCCAGAATTACGAAATCCTGGAGGGTCTGTATAATGGTATTTGATATTTCAACAGCTTGCTGTGATATAATATTAACAACATAAAAATATATATATTTTATTAATACAATTATATAATGCTGTCAAATTATCCTGATGATTTTAGTTATTAATGCTTAATACTTTAATTTAAACAACAACAAAAAACATCATCTACTAGATGGCTTAGAAAAGAAATCTAACATGTTCCATTTGATAAAACGTAAATTATTTGTGCAGAACTATTGGCCATAACATAAAAATAATGATCAGATTTTGTAGATACCACATATCAGCCACTCATTAGTTACTGGCCATAACATGAAATAACTTTTAGCTTAGCCGTATCAGCCAGAATTGTAATAACCAAGAAAAATGCAGTCTCCCAGAAAAATACAGTTTATTATAAAATAAAATGGTAACACTTTACATTAAGGTTCATTAGTTAATGCATTTACTAACATGAACTAATCATGAACAACAAATGTACAGCATTTATTAATCATAATTAAACATTTACTAATGCATTATTAACATCCAAGTTCATGCTTGTAAACATTAGTTAATGCACCATGAGTTAACATGAACTAACAATGAACTACTGTATTTTCATTAACTAACCTTAACTAATATGAACAAATACAGTAGTAAATGTATTGTTCATTGTTTGTTCATGGTAGTAAATGCATTAATTAACAATAACTAATGAACCTTATTGTAAAGTGTGACCAATAAAATATTATATTAGAACAATCTCAAGAATCAGCCTCCAAATCAAAGCTTTTGATGCTCTGCACAGCTGAAAGTACAGACGCACACTGAATAAAATTACACATTGATGGTTACACGCTTTTTCAGAAGCTTGCAAACAAAGCATTGTTTGTTCCAAAAGGAAGGGCCTCTAAGCTTTTGGCTTCTTCACCTACACAATCCAGCACAGAAATACTTAGTCACATCATTATTTAATATTGGCCAACAGCTAAAGGATCACTGCTTTTGAATTTACTGTGTGTGCAGAGGATTCAATGCGATACACGTGCACAACAGATGGCCTAAAAGGCTAAGGCGTATTATTGGCCTCTTCCCAAAATGACATGCCAAACGCACAAACACTTATAACTGTCCAGACAGTTGCCGACTTTGCTAATGGCACATTTTGTATCATCCTAATGGGCTTTCTGTCTAAATAAGTTCCCTGTCTACATATTCATAACTGTTATAAAGGCATAAAGCAAACTTATCACTGCTAACAAATCAATTTCTGGCAAACATACTGTTTAATACTGTTACATTGGAAACACGGATGTTTAGTAAACCGCTGTCATCACAAAGATATAAACTGTGTGAAAAGTTTCACATTAAACAATTCGACATTTTACCAAACAATAGTCCAGCAATCTTTTGGAGTTGTGAATGAATAAGAGCAATGAGGATCTAGATCATAGGTCTCAAACTCAAAATTTTGCTCCAACCCTGATCAAACACAGCTGATCCAACTAATGAAGGTGTCCATGGCTCTTGAACATAAAAAATTATTTGGTTTAGCTGTGTTTGATAGGGTGGGAACAAAACTGGTTTAAGACCTATGATCTAGAATAAATCTGCATCTAATAATGCATTACCTTTATACCATTTTCAAAAAAAAAATTACACTTAATATTACACTTTATAGTTTTTGTAAGCATGTAAATGTCTTTAATATATTTTTAAATATGTATTTAATATATTAATCTATTCTCACCACATTTATCTGTTTTTATTAGGTTCACAACAAACACAGAAATAAGTATTCATGCAAGTAAATTACATTGAAAGTCAATGCAAATGAGCTAAAAATTATCAACGCATGGCATGAATGAGAGAATGTGAGATGTATTTGGCAAGAAAAACACAAAAACACAAACTGTTTTGTTTACAAATTACACACACACACACACACACACACACACACACACACACACACACACACACACACACACACACACACACACACACACATATATATATATATATATATTAGAGGTGTGAACCAATACTGGTCTCACAATTCGGTTACAATTATCATGCCTTAGATTCGGTTCAATTTAATATCTCGGTGCATCACGGTGCATTGATGATGCTTTCTATATACAGTGTTATATTTTAGAGGGGAGGCTATAACAAGCTGTCTGTATATACACACAGACACACAGCACCACACTGTCTCTCATTCAAAAACATACACAAACATAGACAGCACCAAACAAATAAACAAACACACACACACACACACACGCACACACACACTTAAGCCCTTGCAACAGGAAGAGCTCACGCTGAGCAGAAAAAAAAAAAAAAAAAAAAAAAAAACGAAAAAAAGAAGCACTTTTCCGACGATCCCTTACCGAGAGTTCCTCTCAGCGCGAGCTCTCCCGGCTAAACACATAATGCGAGGGCTCAAACGGAGCAGTGCTCGTAATGTCGAGAGAAAAAAAAAGACAGCTGTGAAACATAATCAGCTTTGTCTTTTTGTAGGAAACACACTTTTGATCTTTTTAGGGTAAGAGGTTTTTGAGTTATTGCCGTCTATAACTGAATGTGTGTCGGGAATATGGAAAACAAAACCAACTGAACTGCGCTCATTTCTGGCACCCCCCTGAATATACAGCGCCCTTAGCATTTGCCTATGGTGCCTATGCCACGGGCCGCCCCTTAGTTGGCTGAGTGTTGTAAATACTCGCGCTCACCTCCCTCGCGACAGAGCGCATAGGAGATAAATTACGTCAGTACATAATAACTGGTTATGATTATTACTAAACTGATGCGTCTGCACCGCGGTTCACAGAAGAAACAATTAATTTTGACACGCCATATATTTATAAGAGAGAAACAATTATTGCGTTTTCAGGCTTTGAAATTACTTCTTTCTGAAAACATAGCCCTATATAGATTTCTGGAGCTTGCAAATTATGTATGCAGAAGTACATATTGCTGCATTTCGTCTTTTAAATGAACAGTATGATTAAGGGGCAGTATGATGCCGTTTACCAGCGATCCGTTTGGACGGCCTTCCCACTATTACCAGTTTGTCCAGTTAGCTCGCCATGTACGTTGACGGGCTTTAGATGCAGAGTGGAGTTGATCACGATGCCAGAGTTCAAGTACGGTGAAAAATGTTTCCAGAATGAGGGTAAGACAAAAACAGAAGCCAAAAAAGAATGAAATCTGTGCTTTTGAAAACACTATTGGTTGGGTTTAAGGAAAGAGGAGAGTGGGTCAGTCAATCGGTCAGTCAGTCATTTAGTCAGTTGACAGCAGCCTTTGGTGTATTTACACAAGAACAGCAGGTGCGAATAGCACTCGCAAGAGAAATCTGAGATCTCAAAAAGTGTTTGAACCCTTGAATGAGCTGAGTTGCTTTTCTTCACAGATGCCGAGCCTAAGTACCTTGTGGCTGTTCAGCCAATGCCAACCAATGATGTTAAGAAGCACTGCACAGGTAACATGGAAAATTAATTTAAAAATAAGAAGAATTTGGCAATGGCTTACAAATAAAAAAATACTGTGAAACTATTGCTGGAGACGATTGTATATTTAGTGGAAAACGCACAACAGATGTACTATTAAACCAATGGGTACGCTTGAAAACCTCTTAAAAACTCATATTGCTCTGTTAAATATTAATAACTCTGGGTTTGAAACAGGTAAAGTGAACCTGGAGAAACCTCTTCACCTGGTGATTGATTCTGTCACACCAACATCTGTGCTTTTATCCTGGGGAACCTACTTAAAGACACCCTATGAGGGAAACATCATGAACGACTGCTTGGAGGAAGGGTGAGTTACACACACAACATCTGGATTTTACTTTTTCCTCCACCAACATGTTCCATATGAGTGCCCTGAATCCCTGAGGAAGACTTAATTTACTTTACTTCATATTTAGGGACCACTTAGCCTGGAAAAAAAACTGGGGAAAAAAAGATAATGAAATATCATGGCACCCTGTCTCCAATATTTAGGGGTCCAGTCCTCAGAAACATTGCAGTGCAGGTTTTTATTCAATATTCTCACTGCACTGACAGGAGGCTGGATTTATGATGCGTAACCGAGAGAGCCATTCAATGAGCGCAATGTTTTTTTCTACACAGACGAAAAAAATGTGTGGGATATGGATCCCTGCCATTGCAGGTGTGGTGTGAGTCTACATGTTTAAATGCTTTTTGAGGATACAGGCACTGTTGGGACGCACTGACATGAGTCTCTAACTCACTCTGGTTTTCATATACAAAAGTATGTGATTTTTTTTTCCCTCCATTAAAGGGAGACTTTTGGAAAGGACATTGGAAATGTTGACCTGCACCAAAACAGTTGGGAGCTAAAGTCATGTACCAGTGCTCTTAATAAAGCTAACATCAGCCTCTCTTTTCAACACCTGACTGCTGTAATAGTGAGGGGAAGCCAGTTTACTTCTAATCTAAAACCAGATGATTTCTTATAATTAGCTAAATCCAGGGTCTCGAGTCTGGAGTCTTTTGTTTATTAGATGCTATTATTGTCTTTGAACCAGGCACTACACCATACGCTACAGAGAAAGAAACAGGAAGTGGATCTACCAGACCTGCTCCACCTCTGATACCGTGATTGACAACCTCAAGCCCAACACACCCTATGAATTTGGTGTCCGACCCAACAAAGATGACCGAAGTGGAATGTGGAGTAAGCCAGTGATCCACAACACCAACATGGGAGGTAACAGATGCCCTAAACATCACTTTAAAGTTTTTTGGGGGTAAAAAGCAAAAGATGAGCAGTTCTAACTTGTATTGCTCTTATTTTTTTTAGATAAAATCATGCAGATAAACTACAAGCACAACAGACCAATTGCGAAACCTTTGGTGAGTACTATATTTTGGTTTCATCTCAGCTTAATGGCTAATGGCTTTATTCCCGTAGGCAAAACCATGTTCTACACAACTTGTAGTGCTTTCTGATTTATTTTAAACCATTTTTGCATTCTGACACAACATAATTTGGCTTTGGGACCACAAACAAAACACTTGTTCTGGTTACAAAATAATAAGTAACTAACAGGTCAGGTTAAGTAACTACCTGGCATCCATCTTATAACACCCTAGTGACCATAGTACGTATACCCCGATACCAACCCTAAACAACCATATATCACTCAAAAACGTTCTGGTCATTTGACCACTCATAATCATAAAAAAAATCAAGATTACAGTACTGACCACTAAAACCATGGTCATGAATTCTTTCATAATTGTGCAGCCCTCGTGACAACCCCAAAAATCACCCTACTTACCACACACCAATGATCTGATATCCCATTAAATGCCCAGTCTAACAATACCTAAGCACTTATCAATAATCTGGTAACCACTTAGAACAAGTGACAAAAGTAACTGCTGTAATAACATTTATGAATGTCAAAGTAACTGCATAGCCAGTGCTGTAATAACCACCAAGGGCACCCTACATACTGCATAGCATACTGTGATCATGACCAAACACCCTAGTAACTGCATAGCAATGTTCTGATAACTACACAAAACACCTTAGTAACTGTATAGTGACATCCTGATAATCAAAGAGAACATCCTAGTAACCATTGCGATAAGCAGGTCATGATTTTGCCAAGTACTACACCATCCTGGATTAACATCTATGTTGATCCTGGAAGGTCATTTTTGTTCGAAAACGTAATCCATACCTATTCCCTACCCCTAAACCCAAACATAACTGAAAATTATTCCCAAAATCAGAGGGGAATAATAGTTGTATAACACTCTTGTAGAAATGCATAAACCATAAGCCTAAACTTAACATAAACTGTAAACGTATCACTTAATTCTGATTGGCTAAATGGAACATTGTTTCAGCATCAACATAGATGTTGATCCACGAACATGTTTACTTGGTGAAATCAGGTTAGGGTTGCGATAACTAGTAAGAAGTTAAGTAAAGCCTTGACAAGCCTCATTCACACCGACAGCATAACTAAAAATGCAAAGAAACACCTTGAAAACCAACCAGGACAACCATGAAATTGTAATGTCCTGATTACCACTTTAGAACCACATAGCAACACACTTAAGCACTACGAACATCTGTTGCAACCTCATTGATGTTACTAGTTATTAAAAAGACAATATAAATGACTTTAATATCTTTCTAGCACTTCATTTTTACTTTTCACACCATTCGTGTCCATTCTTCTACATGCCCAACACGCTTATCCAAGACTGCCTCCTTGTCCATGCTGGTCTATTTATGATCTGTCATAGATGTACAGAACTTTGCCTGTGAGCAATCTCTTTCTCACATATCCTTAATCTCTTGAGTCGAGAATCCAGAGGTTGGCATGTGTATGTATGTAGGGGATTCAATATTCCTGGTGGAGGCTGGAAATAATAGATGCCTGTCAGGACATTTCAGGAACACTTTAGACACGGTGGAGAGTCCCTGATTATAGAGATCTTTTACATGATATGAGGGCCGAAAGCTGTTCTGTGTTCTTTCACTCTACACTTAGAGTTCAGAAAAAAAAATAAGTGTATAAACCCTCTCTTTACAGGGTGGACCTCACAGCCCGTTCCCACTTCGACCTGGTAAGATCATCAACTGCTACTTTTAAAAAATGACCCCATCCGTTATTAAATAATACATGCATGCATCTGTCATCATTTACTCATATTTTTTGTTGTTTTTTATTATGTTTTTTAAAAGTTTTGAATATCTTGTTTTGGTGAATTTTCTTATAACATGGACTATTATGATCATGTGTTTGTATCAGTATGCTTAAATCAGTGGGTGGATTGATGGCAAATAGTTTGTGGCTGTTAAAAGGCCACAAAATATTTTTAGCCCACTTGATTTGATTTATTTTTGAGCATTGGCAGACATTTTTATAACCCTGGAAATTCTAGTTGTTGTACACTAGTTTTTTTCTTGCAAAAGTAAGAGTAAGTCATGACAGATCTGTTAATTTCTGGGGAAAGTCTTTTCTTTAATATATGTTTCAATGCAACTTCAAAATTCATTCAATCTTTTCTCAATTTGAACATGTTTTCTGTTGGTCTCTTCCTTCGCAATCTTTGCACTGTAGTTCCCAACAACATAAGCCACCCAGTGCCATCCAAAAACACAGGCATTTTTGGAGGTCCCAAGACATCTTTTGGTAATTTTCCTTCTCACTCTTTCAGTTACACTCTTCTTTTATACAGGAATTGGCTATATTCCAGTCATTCACTTAAAACTGGCATTTGAAGTCATGCTCACAGTAAAGATATTTAATACTCTCTCCCTCTCAAGAGCCTTGTTGGGGATGCCTGCTCACTTTTTCTATCCCCTTATTTTTTTCCATTTACGAAACATTCCATTATTTCCCACAGCGCCTCCAATGGGCCAGCAAGGAACTGTGGCTGCTCCAAGAGCCAATGAGCCAAAATGGCCTCAGCTCCCATTGGGTAATCGAGAGAAGTTTTGTTCTAAATAGCTCTGCTTATGAGCAGCCATTTGGTAATCGCTTTGCTGGGCGTGGGCGGGGATTAAAGACATCCGCTGTTATGATTGGCTGCATGCTGGCATGCCTTGTAAGAAAATCGAGTTAGAAAGTCCAGATCCCACCATGATGAGGATTCCTGATGGGTCGCCTCCACAGTGAGGAGGAAGTGTAAGTGTAAGTTTACCCAGGGTGCTATGAAGTAAAAGCCCCTTTGTGGTCACGCATGGTCACGCATTGGCACAATCTCTCTAGGCCTGCTCACGCTCCACCCATCAGCACCAGTCAGACTCTGTGTCAACCAATCAGCTTTCTCCCTGTCATTCTCATCTCTGCCCATTCAGTCCCCTGTCATGTCATCACCTGTCAATCACATCATAACTGTTATAAATGTTTGGTTTCTTCAGTTTCCCATCTGTCTTATTACTGTTGCCATACATGGAACTCAATGTCTTTATATCTGTCAGTCTTTTTCTGTCTCTTACTTTGGCACTGTGCATATTCCCCAAAAAAACAAAACAAAAAAAAAACATGTAAACACAAGCTTACACACAGAAATTGCTAGTATATTCACAAATAATTACAACACATAATGTCAAACGATTGTACCGGACTGCAGTTCTGCAGATACTAAACAACAGGGTTGTCCAAGCCTGCTCTTGAAAGACCAATGTTCTGCGGTAATTGGCTTCTCCAGCTTTTTGGTAGTTGCTAGTGAGAGTAAATGGCTTGACTACCTGTAGATTCAGGTGTATTTAATTTAGATTGGAGCTTTGCAGGACTGTAGCCTTTTAGGAGAAAATTTAGACATACTTTTTTTTATAGAAAAATATCATTACATTTTTATAAACTAGTTTTTCGTAGGTAGTCAACCATGAAGGAAAAAAACTTTTACTACTGTAATTGTAGTAGTTTGTCCTTATTTTTCATCTTTCAAGCTTCTAAATCACCTTCTTCTTTGACCTCATCGATCCTTCAACTCATATTCTGAGTTTTTTTGCATCTTGAATCGCTGGCCTTTATTCAGTCTGCATGAAGTCACTGCATGTTGAGAAAGAGACAATCCTGTGTTTTTAGTTCTAGCAGGGAAAGGCAGAATTCTGGGAGTCTCACCTCCTTTCCTGTCTTCCTCTGTCTCTGAACTCTGGATAAGATAACAGTACAACACACTCTGTGTTTTTCCACTTGAAGCCAAACTGATTATGAGACCAAAAGTCAATGAGTTTATTCTTAATCCCTTGACAAGACCATCAAGACAAATGGTCAATATCAGTAACAGGCAATTGAGCATCCGTACGATTATGCCTTGATGGAATAAAACTGAGTAATGTTACAAATGTTTTAAAGGTCAAGGCAAAGCACCACCAAATATTCCTAACAAATTTTACTCTAATGAGGGTCTCAATAGTCAGCCATGCTGGAAAATTAGGCAAAATCAGCTTTCGGTGGTTCAAACTGGTCTATCAACCGTTCTACCATCTAGTGGGTCTCTGCAGGAAGGGGGTGTATTAAAGAAAGTTTCTTATCTTAGGTCTTTAGATATGATGCTTAAATCTTAATAGGAAATCTCATCAAATTCGACAATCTATTTTCAGGTCAACCAACACCAAGTGAGCTGCTAATGAGTTAGCCTAAATATGGATTAACAAAACTGACAAGTTTATATTTTCACTGCTGTAGAAATGCAAAGTTGATGCTATTTTTGAAAATGTAACATTCTCAGGGTTCTCCAAGAGTCTTTTCACAATTAAACGTCTTTGTTCATTCTTCATTTAAATAATTAATATATGTAATGCAATTGTTGGACAGCATTTTTTTACGTTGGATTTTAAATAATTGTGAAGTTAGCCGTAAGATTGTCCAAAAGTTAAGACAGTTTTTTGTGCTCTTTTAAAAAGGTAGAATGTTTCTGTTATACCACTGTCCTATCTTTAGTTAAGATAGGAAAACACACTTAGGAAACACTGTTCTGTATTAGCCTTTGTAATAAAAGTAGTCCTGATTGCATGCTTTCTAAACAAAATATTTAAATGTTAGGATATTTCTATAATACACCCCCAGGTTTGTTAACCTTGTTTGAGCTGCTAGACTATTTGGCCAAGCTATATCCAAGCTAGAATATTTCTGTAATACATCCCAAGGTCTTTTAACCTGGTTTGAGCTGCTAGACTATTTTGGCCAAGCTATTGAGCTGGATCTTTTTTTTTTTCAAAATTGTTGACCAACTAGACCACCTTGAGCTGGAATGACTTGTTGTTTTTTTCCAGCATTGAGGCTCATCTGCTCCTTTTTCTTAAACAGATACAGACAGTCATGTTAGAAATGACTCCTCTCAGCTGGTGGAGATCCCCCGCATCCTTCCCCAACTCCTACCCACTAAACCCTTTCGTTCTTCAGCTTCCCCAACTCCCCAATCCCTTACCAGCAGTACCCGGGCACCCCTACATGGACATCCTCAAAACAAGGCACCTAGTGCCACTCAGATGCCACATGGTTCCTCTGGTAATTCCTCCTTTGGTTTTCCTGCTTACGTTCAGAGTTCATTAAACAAATACTATTTTCATCTGATGGTTGACAGATAATGAGAAAATAATGTACTGCTTTAGCAATTCACACAGATAATTGGGTATTTTATGTTGGCATTTATTATTCAACTTTTGGCTACACATTCTACCATTAAAACTTAGACTAAACACCAGAATATCAGACTTCAAAGCTTTATGCAGTTCTTTTTGGGGTGGCTATGGAGAAAAGTGATACACAGGAAATTAATGGACGTTCAAACCGCATTTCAATCAAATGCAGTAATTCTGTAACTTCAGCCACAAACAGACATTATTTCACACTGGAGCTCAATGGATTACAGGAAGAGCTGTCTGTAGTGTGTATGAGTGAGACGGCCAGTAAAAACAGCAAAAAACAGTGACATCAGTTCACATAATCCTCTCATTTATTTGCTCTGTCAGGCGAACTATCACAACTGTCCCACTGGCGTATATCATGTCTGTGTTATTGTCTGAAATCACAGCTTTCCTGTGTCCTCCCCTACACCATGTTTTGTCTTCACAGGAATGCACTGCTGCACTTTACTGCCATTACCACCACATCAGATTTAGTATTGCAAGAATCAAAGCATAGACACCACTGTTGTATCATCTAGTCTTAATGTAAATAATTATGTCTCTTTTCCAAACCTTGAAATTTGCCTACATAAACAGTATTTTTAGACATTGTAGGTATTCCAAAATGTACTTAACATGGCGGCTGTGTTATGTGTGAAACCAATCCCATACGGTTTTTGAAACAAAGATCATGCCATGCCATTTTGATTAAAGATTATGCCCCAGTTCCAAATGACACATTTTATGTGCATTTCAACAACGGCTGTCATGTGCGTGTCTGTCAAGTTGATGAAACAACAAGGTATCTCATTCATTATTTTAGCTTTCAGTAGGGTGTTAGCGAGCACCCACTTCAATGTGGACCTCTGCCAAGATTGGAGCACCAAGTAGACTTTTTTTTGCAGTCAAAGCAGCATTATGTTACAAAACTGAGCACATAGAGGTGCTATTTAAGATTCTTGGGCTGCACTTTACTGGTAATTGTGGGTTTCATTTAGAGGTTAAAGATATCAGTATCCAAATCTACACAAAGAACAATCCAAAATATTTTTGATAGTACATTACCTAAAACATGACTAGCTGTAGGGTATGGGAGAATAAATCGCCAGGATTTTTTCTCTGGAATAGGGATTTCCAAACTCGGTCCTGCCCTAAACACACCAGCAAAGATGTTACTAGAAAGCCTAGTAAGAGCTTGATTAGTCATGTGTGTCTGATTGGAGTTGGAACTAAACTTTCCAGGACACTGGCCCTCCAGGACCAAGTGTGGACACCCCTGCTCTAGAGCATAGGCCTCAAACTCGATTGCTAGACAGCTACAGCTCTGCACAATTTTGCTCCAACCCTGATCAGAACAACTGACCCAACTTGTGAAGGTATTCGTGACTCATTTGAACACCTTGATTATTTGGCTCAGCTGTGTTTGAAATTTGGCTTCAGCCCTCCAGGAATTGAGTTTGAGAACTATGCTCTAGAAATTGTAAATAGAATATCTAAAGTTCCCACGAACCATAACCTCTTAGATGCAGAGCATTCTGGTTAAAATGTAAAGTTGGTAAAATTTATATGCACACCTGAAGAAATAAAGTCCCTAAAGATTCCCACCGATAACTATCTGGTATTCTGTAAGCATTTTAACACACAGCATCTCTCACATGAATGTACAGTATCTCTCCTAGTAAGTAATTTGTTTGCCAGGCATAACCAAAGGCTGCTGTTGTTTATTTTTTGTTATCTAGGTAAGAACATCCGGGGAGACATCTCTTCTCTTCCATCCAAACCTGCCAATTCAGTCCTAACAGTGACCACCAGGAACCAGACATCACTGGGCAGAAACCCTTTCTCTTTCTCTAATGGCATGAGACATTCTCCCCCCAGGCTTGGAGACCCCTCAAGAAGACATGGGGGTAAAGACATTTCTCTCACCCCTCTACCCCAGTTTCTTTTTCAAATCTTTTCTCATCCATATTTCATCTATATATTTTTCTTGCTTTTTCTTTTTTCTCAACACCTTTTTCTTTTCTTTTCTGGTCTTATGAGTCAAAAATACTTAAGTAAATGATTTTTCACTCTCCCCTTTCAGCAGAAAGCTATTTTGGTTGCAGTTGTCTTGGGGCAGTGCTAAATTTTCTCCTTTGAAACATATGGTGTGTGTGCAATCCAACCATCGTACTGTCACACCTGACAGTTTTACTGTTAAAAAAGTATGAGCGATTTAGCACGATGGGTACACGGACTGCCAACATTTGCACTAATCTGATCTTGAATGGCCTCTCTTTCCCACAGGCAGTTGAGCAGCCACCTATAACCCTCTACATAAACCACAGTTTTTTTCAGCTGCTGTGCAACTCAGCAAAAACTATTTAATGCTACCTTAGTCTTTCCCTTTTTCCATAACATCCACTCTTTTCCCCCCAACAGCAAACGGTGAGCACCATAAAGGACTTTCTTTCCCCAAACCAGCCCTCTGGTCCAGAGCAAGAATGGGTAAACAGAGCCAACTCGTACTCTGTGTGTGTTAGCCATCATTAACCTGCAGAAAGTCTGTTTGTGACGCAGCCCATGTGCACATGTCGGTGTCCTTCCCATTCATAATCTCCTTGTAATCACATGTCTGTCCATTCATCCGTCCCCTCATTCACCAGTCAACCCATTTGCTCGCAAAATCTGCCTGTCGTCTTCAACGTTTGTCGTTGTTTTGCAAGCTTCTGCAGATTCCGTGCTGCTGCGAGCTTTGTGGTGTAATTGTCAAAGCTTTTCCCCAGATTGGTTTCTTTCATTTCTTAACCCTCGTGGTGCTGTAGGACATTTATTTGTGAGGGGAAAAACGCCTTTTGGAAGATTCAGAGACCCACCGCAATGTCCTAAACTGTCTCGTAACATTCTGTGGCTCTTTTTATTTGTGCATTTCAGCAATAATGTTTGAAACTCCCCTCTGCAGAGGACGGTAGCTGCTTCTGGTTAAAGTTCATTGTGTGCATGACTACTTGCATGTTTATTGTAGTCACGAGCTTCCATGTGGTATGGGGTCTGTTTCAGTCTGGCAAAATGTTTATATGTGTAGCACAAAAAAAAGGCTCAAACAGTTTTAAATAACATAAAATTACAAAGTTTGCATGGCAAAATTCATGCCTGTATGAGACGACCTAGTAAAGGTCTGTTTACACCAACAATGTGAACAAACTGTGAACAAGAATTGCGATTATAATATGAACTGTGCTGATTTATACTTTTGCATCAAGTGCATGAGTATGGTTCACCGCAGATATCTCACGGACACGCACCTCTCAAAAAAATAACTACACGTTGCAACGATGCATAGTTTAAGCTCTGTGATTGTTCTGCTTGGTAGGAGTGATGAGTGTGAGCAGTGCTTTCAGCCGCGAGCTCAATGGTGCGAGTGTTTACAAGTATCAGGTTCCATGATGAGGCTGCAGATGGAAAGTTTTGTTTTGTGTTTAGCTTATGATTAAAGTAGTTGCACGTCCGCTGGTTCCCGCCTCTGAATAGTGTGTTTTAGCTTCTTGTACATTAAGGTTGCGTTCAAAAAAAAAAAAATACCCACGAAGAATCTCGATACAGAGGAATATTAAAAACCTACTGCCAGCTAGTGTTTTGGAAGTGTTATTGCATTAACACAAACAGCATGCAGAAGTGTAAACTCACGACTGCACACATGGCAAGCACCATAGGTCGTGCAGATCACTTGATGCAGAAGTATAAATCAGCCTTAAGAATTTAGCTAACTGACAAAATTATCTGAGTCTAATTAGTCCAAGTACTACCCCAAATCATGTACTTAGTACAACTGGCACAGAATTTTGGTTAAGATTTGACTTGGTATCGGAAGTAACTTCCAAAATCTGGCATACTTTAAAAATACAGTATCATTTTACCACTGCCATTGAAACAGTGTTGTCAAAATAAAATAAATGTGTATTATGCATGCCAGTAGTTGTCAATATCACTATGCAACACTAAGTGAACAATGAACTGTTTTTATTTTTTGGCAACTTAAAATCCTTTTGTGATGTAAATAAATGATCGAAATATATTCAAAGATTTCTGTAACTAGCTGAAAGTCGAGTCATGTAAAGGGCCCCTAAACATCTGGGGCCTCATGTATGAAGATTTGCGTGGAAATCATACGAAAACATTGCATATGCACAAAGCTAGATGAAAAAACACAGAAAAAAACTAGATGTATGAAACACTGCATACGCCGAATCTCACGCAAATTCTTTGTACATCTGAATGAACGTGAAACTGAGTGCAACATGCACGAGCGCAAAACCCCTCCCTGTCTCCTCCCCTGTATGAATATGCTAATGACTCTACTTTGGCAAAACCCAACAAAAAAGCAATGGCAAAAGAAAGCAAAAAGAAAAACTTTGAACAGAATGTGAATTGGAATTGCTGCTTTCTGAGGTAGACAGGAGAAAAATGGTTTTATTTGCAAGTTTGTCCTCCGGAATTAATAACAAAAGAAAAAAATAGAGTTGGGAGTGGCGTAGCTCGATAAATGCATGGCAATATGTTTTGTAACGTTCTAGCATGAACTTGGTTCGAATCCAGCGTCTGATGAACTTAGGGTGCTTACACACCTGTGAATCGATTCAGTTGTTCCGAAACAGAGATTACAAATGTTACATTGTTGCTATTTGCTCTTGGAGCGGTTCGCTTTCACACTGCAAAGTTTCTAAATGGACCAAAAGAGCTAAAACAAGTCACGTGTGAGTAAACTCTTCTCACATTGGTCAGCGTGTCAGGGTTTATTTTGCAGAGTCCCGCTCAGCTGTCAGGAGAGGGCGTGGTTTGGTAGTATTTGACAAGGTGCACGCAAAGTGTCTGAAGAGTGAGGATAGATGCGGTGGGGAGGAGTGAGAAGGGTGTGCGACGTAGCCTATTTGAGGACCGGGAGGGAGACACGAGATTACTGGGAGATGATCACTCATTTGCGGGCATCCAGAGACTCGCGAAACTTCCCATCCTACTCATAATTCTCTCTTCATATAGCCTTATGTCTATTACATATCCATAAAACTCAGTAATATAACCGCGCTCAGATCGTTTGCTTTCTCACTGCAATTGTTCCGCTCCAGAGTTCGTTTCAATCGAGCAGAGACCATCTCATTCAAGTGATTGATTTGGCACGGATCCAAGAGCGATTGGCAGTTTCACATATGCCAAACGAACCGCGCTAACTGGGCAAACAAGACACGTTCCGAAACAAAAGTTTATGTGTGAAAGCACCCTTACTCTTTTTTTTCCCCTCTACATATCAGATTTTGCCTATTCTCTTCATCATGAGGAGACAAGTAGGAATCATTAATAATTCTGTGCATCATATTTTATTTGCACATTTATAGAATGGAAATGTTTCTGATTCACGTATGCAAATTCATCCTCAGATGGTGCCTTTATAGCAATGTGTGTGCAGTAGATAGCTCCGATTACATTGGGAAAACCGGCAACCGCTGCAAATAGCACTTTAATGTTTGGATGGTCAACTGTATGGTACAGAAACCTTATATACTAGACATGCAGATGAACCCGTCTCATACAGCTGAGAAGACACTTTATAGAGTGCAATTTAACACAACTGCCTCTAGGTGTCGCCAATGGAAATAAAACAGACATGCACAACAAACGTGCATACGCCAGCCATGAAGTTGGCGTGGAACAACCCACGTTCATTTCATCATTAGTAAATCCAAACGTGAGCGATTCTGAGCGTGAAACCTGGCGTAAGCAAAGTTTTTGTGCGTACGCAGCGTTGATACATGAGGCCCCTGGTTATTTGATAGGTTAGATGCTTTCTACTATTTGATTATTTGATGAATGACTGCTGCCAGGGTCAGTGGAAAATCTACAAAAAAACAAAACAATCACAGTCGAAATGAGGACTGTAAAGTGATTGTCACACAGTATTACATATAGCTTGAGAAAAAAACAGTGGAACAAATCTAAAAAACTATCACTTAAATGATAAAATCTATTATTTTGAATTCTTGGTTTACTCACTAAAAGACAGATATCAGTAAAGATCATGTGCAGTTGAAGGCTTTCTTTGGTCGGCTAACACATCGGTCTTACTATATATCGCTCAAAACATCAGGAATCTCCTACCACTGGAAAGTACTTTCTCTCTGCAAAATTAAGACATCTGTTCGTCTTTAGTTATTTTCTGCATAGTTTAGCTTTTTTGCCACCCAGTTTTGTCATTTTAACTCATACCGCAAGGTCTAGGGAGCTGAGCTGAGATGCCCTGTGATGAAGTGAGGGTTTCACAACTGGTGGCTCGAGTATAAATTGAATCAGTTTTCCTGGGAAGGTTCACATACTCTTGCCTGTTTGCTTTTGGCTTGACTGCAAGATGGCATTGAGAACTCAAGACTTGAAAGGCATTGAAGTGCCAATGTTTAGACTTCATCCATGCAATCAAAAAGTAAATAGTGTATTTTCTTTCACTGGTAATTGGCTTCTCAAATGAGCTTGACCTCTCAATTTGCTACTACTATTTAGCAAAGCATCTAAATTACAGGTTCTCTGAAGTATTTCTAACATTATACAGAACACATTATACTCCGCTTAACTATTTTTAGACTGAGACTCAAGCTCAAATAGATTAGGAGAATGATTTGATAATCACTGTTTTCATTTGACTACATTGTGGTTCAGAACAAGGCTACTTTTTCCTATGTTCCATCTTCAGAAATGATACAGAAATTTATAGAGGACTGTATGTTTGACTCTGTAACATAAGTTAGTAGTGATGTGTTCCACTGTTTTTCCTGAGAATTAAATCTTAACTCTTTACACGGTACTCATTGGAAAAACCCATAGTGCTAATGGGGGTTCATTTCAAGTTAATTTTATGACTACAAATGATATTGTAATTAAAGTCAATGAAGTTACAATATGCAATTATTTGCCTGATAAAGAGTTAAGGAATTGTTAGGGAGATGTGTGAATAAAATGAGGATGTGTGGTGATTGCTCTGACCTCTTGCTGCAGTGTTACAGAGCTTTGGGTGCTGTTCTGGACTTGCCATGTCTATGTTTACATGTGCTAATGAATATAGATGAAAGAGAAGGGAGACGAGAGTTGTAGATATGATTTCATGCCATCTCTTTCACTTGCATCATTCCAGGTTCTTCAGCAGGACGCCCGAATAATGCACTTAAAAACCCTAATGTTGTGGGCATGCATGAAAGAATAGGTGGGTGAAAAGTTCATTGAACATACAAATTAAAATGTACCTCAGGAAACATCCAAAGAAATTATCTGTGATTTATAATAACTCACCATTAGAATATAGAAATGTTAATTAAATGTGTGTTAAAACATTCATGTATTCACTTATGTAAGGAAAAGATATGAAACCAGACGTGAACCAGGACAAAGCTTCTATCTTGATGCCCAAGTTGCCCCCTGTTACAGCCAAACCATCCAAACCAAAGACAACATCTGCTCCATCAGTGACAGGTTTGTCTTCATGGGATGCTTTATGATTTTCTACTAGGACATCCTTGCATACATTTGCATATAGTAAATATCCTGATAGAAAGAATTTGTTTCTAACCACATTGTGAAATTATTGACATTTCCCTAGCACCCAAGTATGAGACCTGGGAGAACTCTTCAAGTTTCAGCCCTGTCCCTGCTTCTAAAGTTGATGCCATGGGCAAAGAGCGCTACATTGGTAATAATACTTTCTTATCTATTGTAGACATGCATGCCAAGCACTGTGAATGAAGCTTGTTTTAATCAAGAATGTGTTGTTGGCCAGCTCCACATGTGGTCTACAAGACAGATAAGAAGCCAGATGAACCTTGCTCCATCACCACCTCTCTAACTTACTTCCCCGAAGAGGAGGGTGGAGAACAAAATGTCACCAATCCTCCAAAAACAGCACCATCCAACCTCACCGTTGTAACAGTAGAAGGATGTCCCTCCTTCATTATTCTCGACTGGGAGAAAACAGATAATGAGACAACAGGTAGGAAATTCATTATTTAATATCAGTAGACCGGGTGACGCAGTGGTGCAGTAGCTAGTGCTGTTGTCTCACAGCAAGAAGGTCGCTGGGTCGAGCCTCTGCATTTCTGTGTGGAGTTTGCATGTTCTCCCTGCGTTCGCGTGGGTTTCCTCCGGGTGCTGCGGTACAGGTGAATTGGGTAGGCTAAATTGTCCGTAGTGTATGAGCGTGTGTGAATGAGTGTGTGCGGCTGGAAGGGCATCCGCTGTGTAAAAACGTGCTGGATAAATTGCCAGTTTATTCCGCTGTGGCGACCCCCGATTAATAAAGGGACTAAGCCGACAAGAAAATTAATAAATGGATATCATTTGACCTATTTGTTTCTTAGGAATAAAATATGTAATATATTGTGAGATCAAAGTCAAGGGTTTAGGGTATGACACAAAATCTAAACTGCAACTGTGATTGATTAGGTTGTCTTTAGGGCCTGCATAGTTTAGCTCCAACTTGCTTTAACACACCTGCCAGAAAGTTTCTAGTACACCTAGTAAGAGCTTGATAAGCTTGTGTGTCTTATTGGGGTGGAAGCCAAACTCTGCAGCACACTTGCCCTTCAGGATCGAGTTTGAACACCCCTGGATTAAACGGTAACCTTTCACTTAGGTCCACATTGACCATTTGACTCAACAAACATCACCCATTGACTACCCTTTATTTTAATTGGCCAGCTTTGACCAGAGGGATCCAATATCCCTTCACCTTGGTCCCTAACCATCTGACTGATCAAACACTAACTGTTGGTCTGACTTGGTAAATTAGTAATCTCCTACTTTGATTCAGTAAAACACCAGATATAAACTCTGGTTGAAACATGAAGCCTCAGCAAACAATAAACTAACTTATGACTTCAAAGTGATGCAAGTCTAACCATCTATTTTTTTTAACTTCCATCAGTAAGACTAAGTGTTGACCCTTGCCATTAACCCTCAACATTTATGATTCGAACTATAACCTTCACTATAGACTGAACACCATACAAACACTCAATATTGATCATTAAGACATTCAGTTTTTTGGAAAAATGTATTTGGCCTCACCATATTTAATGATTATTTAATAAAAATTTTAGATGAATAAATATAAAATTAAATGACATAATAGTCAGTCCCCCCTTCAACATGACTTTTCTTCACCTCTGGTCACATTGAATGCCTTTTGGACAGGGTTATCAGGGTGCATCTCATTCCTGCTCTGCCTTCATCCATTCATCAATCTTGCTCCATATTGTTAGCAATGCCCAGCTTCCAATAAAAAATTGGTTCTCAAAGGACAAAATCATGCAACACTACATTATTTTCTCATTTCAGGATATCACAATATGGGGAAAAAAATACAATCTTAACTTCGATTTCATGCTGACTTTAACACTTAAACCCAATTTGTCAAATGATGCCATTCAACTTGAATTCTTCAAACATTAACCTTTAAGTCAAACTATTTCCTAAACAATTTCCTTTGTCTTTTTGTCCTTTTAAAAGAGTATGAGGTCATCTCAACTACCAAAGGTCCTGATGGTGAACAGGTTTCCATTCTGACAACTAACCAGACACATACCGCTGTGGAAAACCTCAAACCAGAGAGCAGGTACAGTATTATTACAGAATTCCAACCACCCTATGCAAGGCACTCTGCTGAATTTGAGAGATTTTAGTTGATGTAGGTGTCAAATACCTGTTGTTAGGATTGCATGCATCCTGAGTTCTGGACAAGGCCTTGGGCATGTGCTCTGTGATTTGGCTTGGAGGGAGGCTGAATATAGGCTCAAGATTTGGGGACACAATATAAACCAGGGCTTCCTATGGACTGCGTCTTGAGGCACGTGGGCCTTGGTAATGTTTCCACATCACACATGGAGGATCCATTAAAGGAGGCCACAGACTTTGAGTCTTCAGACTCTGCTGGATAAATATATCAAGTGTCAGGCATCAAAAGAAGGGAAATAAAAACCTAATTTAGCACAAATTTGACAACAACTCAGTGGGTTTCCAATACTGAAGTCCATTTTAATAATTTTGGATTAAGCAGACTCCTTGCTATGTCAGTTGATGTGAAAATAATAAACTTAAATGTTTTTTTTTGTGGATTAGATTCAAACTTAATGTCCCATCACCTGTTTCTGTCTTAAATTACAGTTATGAATTCAAAGTGAAGCCAAAGAATGAGCTTGGTGAAGGGCCATCCAGTGAACCTGTATCCTTCAGCACAGAGTCTGGTAATTAAATTTTGTTTCTTTTTTCTTATATAACCTCTATTAAAAAAATCTAAATTATTTGAAAAAAAATATTTGGACATGTGACATGACCAAAAGTGTTATTTGGAGAAAATGATCCCCCAGGAAAATATATAAAATTTGGTCCATGCAGACCCTAATGACTAATGAATATGACTATGGCCATGTTCACACTGCAAGAAATTTTGCTATCCAGAAGGGTTATTGAAACATTAATAATTACACTACTTTTTGCAGTATTACATTATGGGTAAAATGGTGACTCCGTGGTTAGCACTGTTGCCTTACAGCAAGAAGGTTTCTGGTTCAAGTCCCTGCTGGGTCAGTTTGCATTTCTGTAAGGAGTTTGCATATTCTCCTCGTGTTCGCATGGGTTTCCTCCGGGTGCTCCAGTTTTCCAGTCCAAAGACATGCGCTATAGGTGAAGTAAATAAACTAAATTGGCTGTATTGTGCGTGTGTGTGAATGAGTGTGTATGGGTGTTTCCTAGTAATGGGTTGCAGCTGGAAGGTCATCCGCTGTGTAAAGCATATGTTGATTAAAATATAGGTTCATTCCATTGTGGTGACCCCTGATGAATAATGGGATTAGGCCGTAAGAAAATGAATGAATGAATGAATGAATGAATGAATGAATGAATGAGTATTACATTATTCATTCACAGTTTTAAAACCATTTGACATACCAAAATCTTTTTTTATTGAAGGCATTCTTACCTCAGAGCCCCTTATAACATTTGTTTCCAAGAGAATTAATAATAATAATAATAATAATAATAATAATAATAATAATAATTCCTTACATTTATTTAGCGCTTTTCTAAACACTCAAAAAGCTTTACACATTGGAGGGAATCTCCTCTTCCACCACCAGTGTGCAGCATCCACCTGGATGACGCAACTGCAGCCATAGTGCACCAGACCGCACACCACACACCAGCTGATTGGTAGAGTTAAGACAGAATTATGAAGCCAATTATGATATGGGGATGATTAGGAGGCCATGATGGACATAGGCCAGTGGGCAAATTTGGCCAGAATGCCAGGGTTATACTCCTACACTTTTTTGAAGTACATCCTGTGATTTTTTTTATGACCACGTAGTTGGGAACTCGGTTTAACATCTCATCCAAAAGACGGCGTTTACTGAGCAATATAGAGTCCCCTTCACAATACTGGGGCATTAGGACTCACACAGACCGCAGGTTGAGTCCCGTCTGCTGGCCCCACTAACACTACTTCCGGCAGCAACCTAGCTTTCCCATGTGGTCTCCTATCCAAGTACTGACCAGGTGCAACTCTGCTTAGCTTCAGTGGGTGACCATGTGAGAGGTGCAGAGAGCTAGCTGCTGGATAAAGATTTAATCTTGTCATAAGCATACTTTAATATACATTTAGATATTAATCTGAAAGTGATGTACCAGACGAATCTCAATGTTTATTTAAGTCATAGTTTAACCATGTGGCATTGCATCTAAAACGAATCCTAGTATTAGGTACACAAGTCAAATATCCATGGGAAGAGTTACAAATTTTTACCATAGCTCTCTATGTGGCTCTGCTGTCTGCACAAGTCAGCCAATATTTGTGACCTCTCCTTTATCTCATGGAAATACATGTAATGAGTTGCTCGTCATTAACATAATGACTCCAGCATGTCCCATACTGTTGTAACATTTGGCCCCATCAGTGCCTGCAGATGCACCCCTGGAGTGCTGTCACACTGCCAAACATTCCCTGTCTTACAAGCTCAGTAACAACATATCATAAATAAGGAACAAATAAAGAGCCATATCATCCACATGTTTTATGGGAGGAGGCTTTAGTTTTGAAACCTTGTCTGGCTTGCAAACAGAACGAGGCTAGCAACAAAATGGAAAGCAGGGCAAAGACAACTAGGAGGGAAAGAGAGTCCATATGTGCGATGACGGGAAAGAAATAGAGGAAAACTGAATGATGAGATTTTACCGCCAAGGCCCCGGAGGTTCAGTTTCTCCCCTATAGCTTTGGCAGATCCAGCAGGTTAGTTCATGCCAGCTGATCTCTCTTCATAAGGGAGATTCAAAATCGCCTGGAAAAGCACACTATTTTCTGCTTGTTGGAATTTATTGTACTTTTTCTTTTCGCTCGAGGCACCTTGCCCACCCATGAGCAGCCAATGTAGAGTTGGACGATTTGTGTCAGTAACTTTCCTACGGTCTACAGATCATTTTGATAGTCTCTACGACTGTGGCTGTAAAATAAAATTATAATTTCTGATATTTCCTCATTCACGCTCTGTTTTCTCTTGCAGCGGATCCTCGAGTGAGCGAAAACGTTTCAGGTAAGTGTTTCATCTTTGTACCCTGTTTCTCTCAGTTGACAAATTCCTATCTGTTGAATGAATGGATAATCTAACGAGCAGTCCTAGTAGAAGAAAAGTAAAGAAAAGAAAGGGTAAAGGAGCTGTGGAGACTTCCTATGAGTTCACTTCTTCCATACCAAGTTCTCAGCCAGACAAAACATTTACCCAAGAGTGGCAAATGGATAACACCATCCTCCATTCCTGCCTCAGTTACCATCTTGCACTCGAGTTGCAAGACTGGGCAAGCTTGAAATAAATCTCTCTCAATTTCTTTCTGTACATTGTCTATTTGAGGCAAAATTGACAGAGTAATGAAACAACGTATCTAGAGAGCAAAGTAAGCCAGTAGTAAGACAAGGTTATGACAGGAGCCAATGGAAACAGAGACTAATGGAACAGCCCCTTGGCTCTTAATGTCCAGCAGACCTTTTCTAACACGTGTATAAACAAAAAAATGGGGTCTGTACTCCAGCGATCTTTTAAAAAAGAGCACTGAAAGAAACATTGTTTAGCATTATCTGTGCCAGAACATAATATCTCGTCAGCTAGTAAAATAACATTTTGTGGTTTTTCTGCATGTTGTTCAGGTAAAGATGCCATTTGGACACAGTTCCCTTTCAAAACCGACTCCTATTCTGAGTGCAATGGGAAGCAGTATGTGAAAAGGACATGGTACCGCAAATTTGTTGGTGTCCAACTCTGCAACTCCCTGCGGTACAAGATCTACCTGAGTGACTCTCTCAACGGTCAGTCTTCTGAATAGTAATGAAATAAGTTATACTTTGGGTCTCTTTAGTGTTAGAATATATCACAAGGTTTTTTTTATTTATCTCTTCAGGCAAATTCCACAATATTGGAGACCAGACCGGTTTTGGTGAAGACCACTGCCAGTTTGTGGACTCATTCTTAGATGGCAGAACGGGAACTCAGCTTCCCGCAGACCAGCTACCATCCAGACCAGGTACAGGAACTACATGAAATCATGAATAATGCCAGGCAACATTGTGCTATGATGTCATCAACGGGCAATCAAGTGGCAAAAATTTAGGGCAAGATACCAGATACCATTCTCAAAAAGAAAGAAATGTATACACAAATGTATTTATATTGCTCTGAATGTCTAAATCGCCAACAGATTACATGAAAAAAGCTTGTCTTTAACTAACCCTATAGAAAAGGGGTTCTGAAACTCACAGCATTGAAGAACTTACTAAAGGGAAAAATCATTAGTAAATAAAGGCTATACAAATAAGAGTTAACCTGATAAATCTATCAAATGACTTATGAACAGGCACATGCAAGCGGTGGGGGTTAGAGGCTTTGGGCACTTGAGAACCTGCCCTTTTTTCTCTTGGTGAAAAAGTGTCCGCCCTCAAAATGCAAGTAAACACCCTCCCAAGCACCCAATAGTGGCTTCTGACCCCGACCGGCTCTTCAACCTTGAGCCCCTATCCCTTGAAAGGTCTCTGCATGGCACTGCTTCTAAATATTTGATATTGAGCATAAATTAATCTTATGTATGAAAAGTTTATCTTGGCATAATTTTTTAAGCTTGAAATCTTAAGCCTTTATGCAGACTTATGCTACTTCCACAGCATGTTGGGATTAACATATTAGTAGTTGTAGAAGTATAAAAAGTATTAGTAACAAAGTTGAAATAGTGCACAGCATCTATCATCAAGGGAGAGAGGTTTAGCCATACAGCTTTTACTAGCTGTAACACTCACCCAGCTATACCTTACTCTTTTATCCGGGTCACGGCACCAATGCAACCATAAAGTACTACTTGGCCCGCAATCTGCAAGATATTAAGTAGGCACACAAACAAGAACGCTGAAAACTGCAGCCTCTAGCATCACTTGCAGTAGGGTGAATGTTTACTTGGGTTAGAGTCTAATTCTTTTCTTGATCATTTTCAGGCTTCTATCGGGCCATGAGACAAGAGCCAGTTCATTTCGGCCAGATAGGTGGAAACTCCCATGTCAACTATGTTGCATGGTACGAGTGTGGTACACCAATCCCAGGGAAATGGTAGGACTAAAGCAAGCGTCCACATGGAACCCTGAAGAGCAACTCTCATTGGTTGGGGTTGGTGCCTACTAAGGTCACATGACAGGCTTTATTTACTGTTTTCCCCCACCAGTGATGCTGAGTTTGGTCACTCCTCAGCCTACGTCACAGAAGTTCATACCATGTATAATAATGTACAGGATCAAAGAGTCAGGGAATACTATTGAGTGCATCTGTGATATGTAATAAAAACAATGCCTCACCGTTTTATTTATCATATAATAACTAGTAAAAATGGTTCATTATGAGAAATTACTTCAGATACATTGAAGTGATGAACATAAAGTAAGGTAAAAATACTTGTTTAAATATTGGGAAGCTGGCTCCCTGAAACTATTTTGATATTTTGTGTAATATTATTTATCAAAGTTTGTGGTTTCTTCACTGGCTTTCTTCCAGTGGTAAAGGGCCAGGCTTTTATTAAGCGCTTTAAGGACAGCCTGGGATTTGTCTACAACCAGAGGCAGCTGTATTAATTTAGGTCTCTGATATGTCAGATGATATGTATAGTTAGCTACATTGTTTTTACAAACACATCATACTGGCTTTACAAGTCAGTTTTCCCACACTAGAATAGAAAGAATGGACTCAAGACAACAACACGTCTATGTTTACAACGGGTTGGGATGAACATGATAATTTTCCTTACATATGCACACACACACACACAAAACATGTCCACTTTCACTCAGATACTTTGTATCATGACTGTAGTCTTTCAATGGTATGTTTGATGGTTCTAGACTGTAAGGATGACCTTACACTTGCAATTTGCACAGCACAAATGTATTTATATGTATATGGAGAAAGTATTTTTTCAGGAAACCTAAGAGAGAATTAAAAATCCTTTCCCCTCAAGCTTGTGAAATACAATACAAGTAAAAAAAAATCTAGCTTTTTTGAGTGTTAACACATTCAAAGAGTCTTGAAGATCTTAATACTTCAAGGAGAGCTTGTCTGGGTCCCATATTTTGTACAGTTTGGTCCCTGCCAATCCTTTGGCAGAGTTTCTCTGGCGTATCCGTATTTTCATGGAATTTGTTTGTAAGATGAAACTGTTGTTTGTTGTTGTTATTGTTCTGGATTTGTTTTTCTCTGTATGTATTTTACAGTAATAAATAACAGAAGTTTGGTTTCTTTTTTTAATCCTGTGTCCTACTTGTCTCTGTTGTGGCAGAATTTGTATGAGTTTCTTAAGAATACAATGAACAGACTCTCAGGTGGGTCTGTTAACACTTGAGCCTCTTTCGACCCTTGGGAATTTGAACACCATTAAACCCCTCTCAACTTGCCGCACTGCACCAACTCGAATTATAAAAATAAACATCAATACTTGCTTTACTGCATTACTATACTTTTCCAGAACTAGAAAAAAGAGAGTATGCCTGGCCAAACCCAATACAGGGACATTCTTCGAAAACCACAAAGCTAGAGGAAAAAAGACTATAAAATTCAAAATGCCTCTTGGTGACTTTATTAGATTTCCAACCAAAAGAAAGAGTGGGTGTATTTAAAAGAGAGATAGAAAGATATAAACATTAGATTTGGGTAAAGACTGGATTAAAAGCCAATAGATGGTGTCCAAATCAGCAAAACAATCTGGTTGCTCACTATTTTCCACAACTTTACTTACATAAAAAACTTTGCAATCATGCAACATAACATTCCTACCAAAACTAATGATGTCTATATGCTTTGAAACAATGCTTTGCCTAAAGGGAAATGGAGAAATAGTCCAGATTAGGATTATAAAGACTTTATAAGAAGACAATGATGAATGACTTTAAATAGGGTGACGAGAACAACTTCTAATGTTAGATAATGAAAAGGTTACCTAAATCTGTCAACCACAGGCCACCCTCGCAACTTTACTTGACAGCGAGGCATTCACACAAATCAACAGCTCTCTCTGTAGACTTTACAGCACACTTTCATGCCTTACTCTTCTCACAGCTGTGCTCAAAGTAGCCACTGCATGGTCCGTGTGTCTGGTGTGTCAGTGTCAGCAAGAACTCAGCCAGGAAGAATTAAGCTTCCTGCGACAAGTCCAGTGTCCAATTTAGTTCCCAACACGTGCTGGGAGGATCTCAGAAACGTTCACAAACACACATTGGTTTCTTATTAAAGGGACCTTTGATATACTGACAAGCCGCTGGTTGCAAGTTTGAGATTTTATATAACAGAGCTGACAAAGTACTAAAGGCACTATAACTATTATCATATCTATACTTGCTTCAACAACAGTGCAGGTTACTGTTTCATTAAGAAAAGTTTACTGTAGTTTAAATATACAAGGGTATAGTTCACCCAAAGATTTAAATTCTGTTACCATTTATTCATGACCCATTGACTTTCATAGTCATTCTTGCCAGCAACCATCATTCTTCAAATTATTTTATTTTGTGTTCAACAGAAGAAAGAAACACATAAAGGTTTAAAACAACAGGAGGGAGAGTAAATGATGAAGTAATCCTCTGATTCTTTAAATACACTTTGTTGAGACTTTAAGACAGGATTTTAATGGACTGTCAATTATTTTAGCATATTTAGGGTAATTTCTATAATATTTTTTATGTTGCTACATTTTGAGTCATGTTTACACTATAATGAGGCAACAATATTAACAAAGTGATCCCTATTCACATAGATCTGCAAAAAGGAGTATAAGCACTGTAGATTATGCTGACAATTAAATTATTGTTTTCAAAAACATGCACATTGAAATCCCTTTCCAAAAGTTTCCAATTTTATTATACAAAAGCTTTTCATATTTAAACAAATAAACTATATTGACGCAGTTGAACAATTTACCAGCTAGCAAACATCATATTGGCTGACAACTATTTAATTTATAATAATTATGTTAAGTCATTGAATTAACATTCAGGCACAGTAGTCAACCACTGAAATGCTTATGATGCTAATAACACACACTGCATTGGTTTGCATTGGTTTGTCAGCTATTTGGATATGTTAAGTTGCCTTTTTAGGGCTACAACTTGGTTCCCCACAAATTGGTGGTAAGGGAAATTAAAGGTACAACATGAGATTTTGGAAAATGCTAATGTTAAGGCTGATCAATACTTTGGCTTCAAGTGCATGCGCATAGTACAGCGCAGCCTACACGTTGACGCATAGCCCTACACTGTGGCCGTCTGCGTTGCTGACGCGCACCTCTCAAAACATTTATCTACACGTCGCAACGACGCGTAGCACAAGCTCTGTGATTGGTCGGCTTGGTAGCACTGAAGAGTCTGGGCAGGACCGAGAACTGCATGAGCCCGATGGAGCAATTGTTTACGAGTGTGGAGTCCCATGAAGGAGCTCCGGATGGAAAGTTTTGTTTTGTGTTTACCTCATGGTTAAAGTTGTTACACGTTATGGTTTCTGCTTTAAAACAAGCGAGTTGCCACTTGTACATTAAGGAAGTGTCCAGAAAAAATAAAACAGCAGCGAAGAAACTCGACACAGAGGAACATTAACACCTCACTGCCAACTAGCGTTTCAGTGGGTCATGCCGGTCACTTGATGCAGAAGTATAAATCAGGCTTTAGCCTGACTGCACTGGAAGCCTACGTCCTACGCATAGACTGTAAAATATATGGACGTAGTATCCGTGACGTCACCCATAGGTTTCTAAAGAGCGCAAAAGAAGCCACAAGTAGGCGCGGCCAACCGTCGCCATTTTGTTTTCGCGTCATCTCACCCACGGCGGGATACCAAACAAGGGCAAAGAGGCGGAGAGTGAGCGGAGCTACAGACACCTGCACAGTTTGCTTGGACCTGATTCAGACACACTTTACTTTGGGAGAAGGCTTAATACTTTATCACCTGTGACTCGTTAGTATTCTGACCACTTGTGCTTGGTTGTACACTATATCAATAAAGTGTTTAGACTTTTAAAAACACTGTAGTAATACACTGAGCCACTAAACATTGTTCTTATGACGTTTTTCAACAGGAGGAAAACTCGAATTACTTACAAACACTTCAGATATAGTCTGTGTTAGTTAATGTTGATGAAATATTGATGAAATCCAGCATAACACTGTATGACAACACTTCAGATGACTGTTCTAGAGCCTACAGCTAATCAATCCGTCAGATTCTGGAGTGCATTACAGCTCTAAATATAAATATAAACGATAAATGATCTTAAATAAAACAAATACATGTATAGAGATGGTATATAAGTATATAACTTTAACGTTACTCACATGGGAAACGGAGGCCACGTGAATGGTTTGTGAGCACAATTAAGTGCTCTCAGCATGCCATGCCATCTAATAATTGTAGGAAACAAGTCCAAAAGGCAGTTGACTGTGTAAAGCCACATAAAACAACACAGAAATACGATAAATATGCCGAGTTCAGTGGCTGATCTGCAGGATTCAGCTGAGGTGACGTGACGGCGACCAGTGAGAGCTAGCTGTCACTCAAGTGGCCACTCCCTTAATTATGCAAAATTGATATAACTTAATATAAAGGAAACAGATGAGTTATAAAAAAATTCACCCCCCTCACAGTTGTCATGAAGGGTAATATTAGCTGTATTAACCAAAATCTTTTTTTGTACCAGGCTGTATACACCTTTTTTTCTGCTGTAAAGTTGGCCATTCTAACAGTGGGCTCAATTGAAATTTGCTCTGTTTTGGAGCCAGGAGCGGCCACGACTAGCGGAATTTCGGATGAATTGCAATTTTAGTTACTTCCGTATTGGCTTCCTGAGGGAGAGCGGGAGGTTGCCGCTTGGTCCTACGCTGCAAATTGCCATCAAAGCCACGACTCCTGAACTGATGAACGCTCACTAGGAAAAATGACTAAAATACAGAGAGAAAAATTAATTATACATTTAGTAATTACAATGCCAAAAGTCAAAAAAATTAATAAAAAATAGGTTGTTGATGTTTGCCCATAGACATATACATTAGATGTCGCCTACCCTGTTGTTGTCTATTGGAAGGAATGCATCAGTAGAGCCGCCATTTTGGAACAGGGTAGTGCTCCTTTGAAATAAATGTGACCCCTGGCATTCCTGACAAAAAGCATGTGTTTGTGTGTATGGAAATGTAATATCCGCCCTTCTTGTTAAATTCGCCCTTCTTGTTAAATTGTGTCCTGAAACACATCGCCTCTCTTGCTTTCACTTCTCATACTGATGGAGGGAGCGATTCGATTGTAAATGAATCTTTGTTATGAACGACTTGTTCACTTAGCTGACAATAGTATACGTTTCTGGCACCACAGCATCTCGTTGTCATATTTTATTTACATTGTTTGCTGATTTTATTCAACAAAAATAGCATAAGCTGAGAATTTAGTCCAATTTGTTGCTGCTTTGCCTTATGGTGAATGCAGTAAGAGACTTTATTATCATCAATAATGTTTAGCACAAAAGTTCAGAATATACAAAAAACATAAAAAACTAAATCTTACTTATGAAATGTTCTACCTTTGTGCTTTGTTTTCTTTGTTTGCTCGTTACTACACCCGTGGACAGCGCTAAAGTCCAGTATCTTCACGTAGTAACACTGTCTTGACTAGTGCGGCTGACATTTGTCCTGGGAGCACTGTACCAATGTGGCGGCGCTATTGACGCATGCTCAGGGTCCCTATGCGATATCTAATGTATACATCTATGATGTTTGCCTACATTCTCTATTTGGAACTGCCAATGATGTAATCCTTTCTAGGTGGAAAAAGTAGGGGTTTCAAAATTAATTGTTTCTTTAGTGGACTGCGATGCAGATGAAGACAATTAGGTATTGGTTTAGTAATAGATCCTTAATCGGTTATTACCTACTGATCCTATTTATCTCCTATGTGCTATATTGAAATGTGAAACACTCCTACTTCTTCAAAAAATGTATAAACTCTGCACACATTTCTTCTTCTCTTGGCTGTTACAGCGATACTTGTGGATCCAGACATGAGTGTGTCTGCAGAGTGCATTTTCTCCTCCATGTCTATTATGGATTAGCTGTGATCACCACTGCCATCACTCATTGGTGAACAGTGCCAAAGTATTAGAGCCAATTGCAACCCTTTCTGCTGGGCACGTGACCAATCACAGGGGTGTAAGAACTCGCTCGACTATGCCTGAAAAGCAAGCGGGATAATATTTACGTTTGCCCATGAGGCATTGT